GAGTAGTTGACCAAGTCTGCTCTAATAAGGAATTGTGACAGTAAATACTGGAGAACTAAAAGCAGAAGATACCCAGGATTGAGAGAGAAGCCTCTCCTGCAGGTGCGGGAAGTAAAGCCCTATACTGCAGCATGAATACATTCCTTCCAACAAGAAACAGCCGAGTACAGCTTGTTCAGTTTTTAAAAATAAAAAGGGACTGGGCAGATTGTGCAAAGGTGTCCGCCACGTGCTGTTCCATTTATCACAAAATAAGGATTTTTCTCTGTTAACATCATCCTCCCCACACCCCACCAAAATAGCATTTTGGTCAAGATAGGGTAGTTAAGGCATTTTTACAGAAGTTAAAAGGTGGTTTTGAAGTAGATACCTAACATTATGCCAATTTAGGAATAGTACATAAGTTACTGAAGCGCTCCAAAATTAATCACTCATCCTCATTATAAATGAAATGCCTGTTACAAGCATGATGCACTGAAATATAGTAAAATGACATGTACATGGTACATGTTAAATGATTTTAAATAAAATAAGAGCTTGACATAGTTATGCAAATATACAGTACAACTCCACAAAAAAATCTTTAAACAAGTTGAGGTAACCTTGAACTTAACAGTTTTAATACAATAAACCAGGTAGTAAAATCTCCTTTTGAAATAAGGTAAGATTACTTACTGACCAAGTTTAACTGCACTCATCTAAACATCAAATGTTACCCGACTTTTTTTTTTTTTTTATATATATATAAAAACATGGCTTTAATTTATTTCTAAATACTTCTCTACCAGCAAAAAAAGTTAATGAAAAACTGACCAAAATATATATATCTTTACCAGCTACAAGCTTTTTATGAGCCTCAAGAAGAGCAAACTGGGGGAAACAATTGTGAGCTACTCTTATTCATAAGGAAATATTATATCGCAAGTGGCTGGGAGCTAACTGTAAACATCATTAAGGATCATTCAGAAAACCCTCAGCATCAGTTACTGAAATGTAAGTTTTGCTTGTTATTCATTAACTATTTTCCATTTGTGTACTTACTGCCGCTGCCACAGCATAAGCGAAGAGGTGCACTTTTGAGAATCAGAACGAGGATCGACTTAATTTGGTAAAGCGTGTTCTAGTCTACATAAAGCAAGAATGGCCATACTAACACGAGCGACGGCTAGGCAGTAGTGAGTTCTCAAACAAAAAGTAAGGAAGTTCAAAGTTGAGGACTACCTGCTCTTAACGCCACCCATCTTTCCCAGGGATGGCAGCAGCTACGGCATGTTCTCACATGCTGCTCAGAGACAGGGTAAGAATCTGTGCTAACCTCAACTCTGAGCGCTGGCAGCTTTCGCGAGTTCAAGCTACAACAACTTTTTGATTTAAAAAAAAGTTACCCACGCCCAAGACATTCAGACAGCCCAGGCCTCGTTATGGACAAATGATCTGCAAAGCTTCCACTGATAAGATCACAGTTAAGCATCTGAAATCACAACACACTTATGCATCCGTACAGCTTAAACTAATCTTGGTTTTTTTGAAATTCTGCAATAGGAGAGGCTCCAAGCTGACACGATGTATGCCAAGAGCAAAACTTTTACAGCAGTTCTCCTCCTCCTGAAAACAACGTTTTTGAAACACAAATCCTCAGCTATCACTGTAACGAGACTAGGTTTAGGAACGTATGCTTTTTAACATATCCTTGGATGAATAATGGATGTTTCTAGCAGATAGAGCAAAACACATCCTCTTGTGGAACTTTTAATCAATTATACCTAATTTTGAACTTTGAGCAACCAATGTTCATCATTTGAAACTAGTCACAATTTAAAAAGCAGTAACCACGTGGGTCTGGTTTCCCCCACCTTGAGAACAACTACTGGGTTTTGAAAGGCATGCTTCAAGCCTTGCATTTCCTCATTTCTTGCTGGCAGACGGATCAGTGTATTACAGTAGTGGTTCTTAAAAGGATCTCAACATTGCATCGTAGGACAGGCAACAGGCTTGACAATTGGCCATTGAGATCAGCTGCAACGTAAGAAAGCAATCCTGCCAGCAGGAAACAGTACGTGTGAAGCTAGGAACTCTGGGAGAAAGACGGTATCAGAAGTTGACATCTTAAACAATTCAGTCTGTATATTCAGCTACTATAGAAAGAAGGACGGTGATGTCATCTGGTTTTCCCCCTGTAATGCAAAAAATTAATTTTGAAACTAATCAAGAAGCTACCTAAAAGTTATAAACAGTGTCCTAAAAGCTTCGTTTTAACACCCTTTAAAAAAAAGTCTGACTGTTTTAGATACGCGTACAGCCGAAAGCCTTGGTCTCCTTCACTTCCCTTTCAAAAGGAACAAGTGCCTCCTAAAAGCATTCTGGGGACCACCGATTATTTGGGGGCAGGCGGAGAGAGAGGGATGGAACTTGGGACAGCACAAGATTTATGAAGCGATTCCACAGTCGGGGGGAGACCCACTCACCTCTCACGTTCAAGCCATTGTCACAGGCAAACTGTGCAAAGGGTGACATGTAGGTAGGGTCGTACGCCAGTTCGTGAGCTTGCTCAGCAATGCTTCTCGCAGTCTGTTGTATGCTCTCATAATTCGAGTTCTAGATTGATGAAAGCCAGCCAGTTATTTTTACAGAAATGAGCGCGGTTCATTCACCTAAGCAGCTACTTTGGAAGAGAGCAGGATGGGCACAGGGACCATTTCCTAATCCAAAAGGAACCTGCCTTCTCCCAAGTGTCCAGTCTGTGAGCGTTTGCATTCCAGGATGAATCCAACCTCTGTGGCTGTGATTATCTGCACAGTTCTCATGAGACCACTGATCGTGGGGAGGAAACGTACCATTTCACTGCTTAGAAGATGGGACCCGGCCTGTTTTGAATACTGCAAGTTATCTAAGCCGAGAAACTCAGCTTTCCCTTTACCTGTTTTGACTACCCAAATCGCACCCTCCCTTCACCCAGCTTGACAGCCAGGCACCCGCTCTTTCCAAAGGAACTGCATTCACTACAGCAGGAGTGCTAAGGCAAAAGGAGGAGAGCAATGATTGAGCAAACAAGAGAAACAAAGCTAGTTTGAGCACTAAGTGTCAAGCAAAAGGAATATCTTCCCATAACACAAAAATGCCTGACAACTCTAGTCTTGCATAATTACAATATCCATTTTGCTGAATGGTGTCTGTGCCCTACACTTAAATGGGAAAGTGTCAAATCAAACTGAAATCTTAATGTCTACGCATGGGCTACAAGTCTGCATACCCAGCAGTTACAGCTTCCACTGCAACAGTGACGTTTTCCTGTCCCCCCCCCTCTGCCCTGCTGCTCGTCTGAAATTATTTGCAAGTC